TCACAGTAGTAATCACTCAGTGAAGAGTAGCCATTCACCCAATTCACCTGCCATTTCACGAAAAAGTCGAGGCAGTTCGCACTGCTCCATCTGCCCCTGTGGTCATACTCCACTTATTTTTCCACCACTTCCACCATTACTGCCACCACTACAACCACCACTCCACAATCACAATCATGTAAGCAGTAGAAGTGGTAGTTGTGGGAGTGAGACGAAGGAGAGGATGCAGAAGATTTCCATTGTCTGACAGTGATCCACACATGCCCCAATCGCAAAAAAATTATGGAAATATATAAATGAATTTGCTATTCTACTCCGGCTTCACTGACAGTAATCTATTGGGTGACGCCAAGGGTACAGGAGGTTCGAAAGATTACCGTAGACCATGGACGGGTATGCAGGTTGCTATTTACTGGCCTCTCTTCTATTTTTCCCTTACTGCTGAGCCCCATTCCATCTGCCACCATGACAACCGAGTTCAACCCGCTTTGAAACGTGTGATTAAATGGACGATAAATGGATCAAGTTCAGGGACATCATCCAATTCCGTAAATGCTACTGACGTAGTGGGGGGATTAAGAACTAGGTTTTTTCAGTAACTTCCTTCGTATGAATGATATGGAGGGATTGCTTTAACCCCGTCAAATGAAAAATTCGTGACAGGAAGGATGATCAAATGGCGCCTCGTCTATATGCCAAGCCTAAACAGACGACAGAGACAAAAAGCCTTCAAAGGCTGCCACTTTTTGCCTTTTGATTGACTTCTTGATTCTGCACTGGGGAATGACATTTGTTTTTAACGTCCATTAAGCGAGCGAATGTGGAGTTGGTTATCACCATTTGAATCACTCACCACTCAATTTTCACCTCTGTGCCTGACCGTTTTTTTGCCACAGGACTGCTTTGTGTGTGTCCGTGTGGTGGACACCGCACTCCTCTGTTCATTTGCAGAAAGCCAAGCCAAATTCGCGCTTGCGATCCACCTACTCATCACATCTCTAGTAGATAAGCCTCAGAAAGCAGTAACGGCTGGTGAACAGGTGGGTGGAAAGTCCTACTCGCCGCATTGCACGACAATGCATTACCGCTTTCCTCTTCTTCTCTCACTGTCACCACGACAGGCATCCCTCAGAAAATCCTCGCTTTAAGATAGCATAATGAGTTGCTGCTACTTCACTCCTCCAGGTGACGACTGTCAAGTTTGTCTTCAAATTTTGGCCATTCTCAACGCCACTTTTGATTGGACAGCTTAAAGCCACCTACGTCTAAGCCCAATGACTAAGCCATGACGGATGCGGAAGACGAGGTACACACGTAGATGAATAGAGAAATGGCCACATGGCTAGAGCAGCACCCTAAAAGGTTGGACAGTTCCATGCCACCTATGATTAAGCACCGTACAAGCACGTGACTACATTGGAAAGAGCATGACCAGTTTGGAAAGGGAGCCAACGTAGTGCAAATATTGGATTGGTATTTCTAACATTTGTAAGTAGATTTTACAACGATTGCAAATGAAATTTGTCGATTAAGCGAAATGTGAAATATGCCATATTTGAAAGGGGGTACAGTAGTGCCATGCAAGTTTTCTGAAGAGGAAAGAAGTTATAAAGCTATGGCTGAAGATCTGTGGGCATGTTGTGCAAGAGAGACCGCTTGGCGGAGCACCTAAGTGGCCCGCTACCAAAACCTAGTGATAAACTAACGACCAACGTATTACATAGTCCCTCCCCTCTTTTTAGCATCTTTCGCCTATGATCCCCTTATTTAACATCCTGCATCGTCCCTCACAAGGTAATCGGAGCTGCATGAAAAACACCCACCAGGCAACCTTGGCTTTTCATCTACTTTCCATGCAACTGACCTCAATGCCACTGATACCGCCTGGCATTTCAACTGGATCTGCACTTTATTCCCTTTCAGGAGCTGTAACAGGGAATGGGAAAGGTGCTGGCCATCGCTAGTGTCCGTACCCAATAGTAAGTAACGCTGGCCTAAAAAGCAAGGTGGAATAACATAGGTCCTTTGTGGTAAGGTTATGCGTCTGTCCCTCCTCGCCACTTTGTTTTCACATCAGCGCTGCCTATAAATTGGACAAATGTGGAGGATAACCGGTGACCGTTTAAGCAGACATTGCAGTGGGCAAACCCACCCATACCGTGTGATCCAACCCACAAATGAACAAATTTCGGCATTTCCACCCACATTTGCAATTTATTTGAGTAAAAGTGGAGAGACAGAATGCTTTCATGCACACATTACACCAAATAACGCATTTTAAATGAAGTTGTTAAAATTGGGAATGCGTCCAACTTGTGGAACGCTGCAGTAAAACCGAAAGTGGTAGGGAATTCGTGCTGCTCAAATGCACGAGAGTTGAAAGCGTAACCCAGCTTCGGGCAACTGGGCTTTTTCAAAGCATTTACTGCCATTCGCGTTATTGTTGGAAGTAAAGGGGATTATTTTTGGCTTCGCATTTATGAAGAGGTGGCGCAACGACTTCACCGTCAGCTTAAAAGAAAGCAAAGACAGAAGAATCCTTTCTAGATAGTAACAAAATCGGTGAGACGTTTTCAGAAAAAGTGGTATTTGAATAAAAACAATTAATTGCCATTTCTGCATGTTGCAGTCAGTTCACAACTTAAAGGTAAAAAGGGTATTCGTATTTCCATTAGTGACACTTTTAAAGATGAAACGTGAAATTGTCTCCGAGGGGCCCCAAAGAGGGGTGGAACGGAAGCGGTCAAAGCCGGTTATTATGCTTTCAAGGGGAGATACTTCATATTTCCTTTTTAAATTGGCCTGCGTAAACAACTAACAGCCCACCGATATGAGACATCTACACGCATTACAACGATTGATGCCTTGCTTGAAGCGTTTTGGCAGGGTTGATGTTCTTGCAGCACTTGGTTCCCCATGACACTATAGAATCCAGGGTTTTGAAGTAAAGCAGCAGTTTTCCTCTAGTTCTGAAGCCCCGTCAACAGCACTAGGATTCACCGTGTCTACAAATTACTTGCCTTCGACTTGTCTGCTGATTTGCATGAATTTAGCAACAATTTACAGTTCGAGCCAGTGAGTCGTCAGCTTGGTGCTGAGACGGGGAAAGATTATTATGAAATCGTGCCATGGGATGGTGGTGGTGCTCATCTTGAGGGATTTCAACATCTCCCTCACTTTTTTTCAGTCTACGGTTTGATATAAGTGTTTGTTAAACCACGTCTCTGTCAGTACTGCAAAAAAGCTCATTTTCTTATTGAAATGTAATTA